GTCAAATTATAACGACCCCACGGCTGAAAGGGCGAACATGTTTGGTGTGACAGGGATTCGAACCCGTGACCATCATATTGCGAGTCGAGTGCCCTAACCACCTGGCCCCTCTTTCATGGAATGACACAGCTTTCCATGTTTTGATGTATTTTTCAAAATAGTCATTAGTTCTTAAAATATGAATATTTTCTTCTGGAAGCAAATTGAATCGTATCACTAAGGCATTACATTTGCCAAAAATCATGTTTTTCTCAGGAGGCGTGAGGACGACTCACTTGAAAAATGAGATTCTATAAGAAAATGACTCCTAAATCATTTTAGTAATATAGATTATGTGATATTCTTCTAGGTTTTAAACTTTGAAGTTCTTAATAATTGACCGTAGAACTTAAAAAAGATACTACAGATATTAGCTTCAGTTAAATAACTTTATTGAAACTTTGAAACAGTACCACATTCATGAAATATGCCGCTTATATAGTTAATCTGAACAAAACAATTTTCAAAAGTTTTCTTATACTTGCAATCAGCACCAAAGAATTACAACACTCAACTGATGGTGAGCTGTCTACACAGATAAAGAAGACCACACTCATATACCTTAATTCTTTATGTGTTTTCTATGGAATAATGCCCACCATTTTGAGCTAGTCTGGTGATTTGGAGTTTTTATGTTGTTTTTTTTTATGTTAAACAGCTTTAATTACACATAAATTGTTCTAATTTTAACAAAACTTATAAAAGAACCAATTTTAGGAAAATAAAAATGACCATCATAAAGTGATGATTGCTGGACAATACTCTGACTAAATAGAACTATAACATTTGAATACTTATAAAAAAAAAATGCTTTAATTTACACAACAGTTTTCAGTCAGTAAAGGTTTACTAACTTAAAAATAGCCACATAAATGAGATGATTATTGTTGACCAATGCTACGAATAAAAGAGAGATATTGCAATTTGAGTATTTCAAAGAAAAACATTTGTATTTCATCACCAGTAACTGGTATCTTATGATCATACAAACAAGAAAAGAATATTAAACTGCCAATGAATCCTATATCTCAGATGACTTAGTGTTTAACTGGTTGTACTTGAACAATTTCAGTTTATTAATCTGAAATACTTTTGAATGAAAAATTACTGAGAAAAGTTACATCAATTAGGCAGTTCTTTTATACAAAGACTACTCAACAAAAAAACCAACATAACATCCGTGTCTTAAAAGGGGAAGATATTTATTTACCTATACAAGTAGTTAACAGGAAAGTTATTATAAATAATAATGTAACACAAGATACTGCAAATGACACTAATATGTTTGTAAAGGTACTAAAATATTTACAACTGTTTAAATGACAGGAAAGTCCCTTTGAAAACAAAGCAATTATATATTTCTGGTCTTACATCAAGGAAAAATGTGTTTTTTTTTTTAAATATTTATATTTCTTATCCAAGAACTAATAAAATTGTTTCAAGCTATCTACATCAATATTTTAAAGAGCCTAATTATTAGATCCGAACGTTAAAATAGAAAAGATATAATGCTGAGACAGCTTTTTCTCTTTGACAGAGACGACTATGAAAATATCATGAAATTTATAATAAGCTGGAAGTGTGTGGATACACTAAATTAATGGCAAGTTGACTTGCCACTTAAAATGAAAAATAGAACAGAGCAAGTGAAATTACTTAACAATTTTTAATTTCTGTAAAGCTTTTAGGTGACTCTAAAACAAGATATTACTTTTCATTATAAGCCAAGTATTGTATTTAAAACTGTAAAGTTTTACTTAATAACAAAAAATGTTAAAACAGATCCCACATTAAATGCATACATTTCTTTTATATACACATACACACACACAAACACATATATATATTTATTAGCATGTGATAATTTACACATGACAAGCATAGTAGCAACAAAATTATCATTCCTGCAGTACATTACAAAACATGGAAAAACTTGAATGTTTCAAATTATTGGCATATTCAACTATGGTGAATATGCATTTCACATGTCATCACTTAAGATAGGTTCAGAACATCGCATAAGATAAAAAGATAATGTAATAGATACACAGGACATTTTTTTTTATGATTTTATTACCTTTTACTCATGAAATTACCCAGTCAAAGATATGTATCATCTTTGGGTAATATAATAGTGATAAAAAAAAAAAGTAGTTTACTAAATCAGGACCACAGAGTATTCTCAATTCATTATAATGTAAGCCTAAATTTAATTAATCTGGTATTATATTAATGGATTATTTGCTCTTACAGAAGCTTTATAGATAGTTCTAGTGGTTTGGTACAAACCTTGCAATGCTACAGAGAATGTTTTATTTTATGTCGATCACTACTGATTACAAGCATCCAATCTAGACAAGGCACTTATTATTTTTCAAATTATATAAAAATGGAATGATTTTTATTACTACTGCAGAACACGCACTTAAGGTACCGTGGAACATCTGTTTACAGTGTCACAGAGTAAATGGTTGGTCCCAACTCTAACTATAACATTAATATAATACGATTTCTGATTCTTCGTTGTTTAGTCAGTCCTAACTTTGATGCTCCAACAATGAAATTTACTTTGTTAAATTTCTAGAATGTTTTCTAATGTTTACGTATAAACATATTTCTATGCTTAAACATGACAAATTATAGAATATTTATAAACTTGTACTTTCTTTTAAAAGAAAACGTATTTCATTTTCCATCAAATTAAATTAAAATAATAACTAATATCACATGGAAATCAACACATTGGCATTTACGACAATAAAACAAAATTTACTGTTACTTATAGAAGTTTTGACAGAAAAAAATATTTCAAACAAATTGTTTTATCATGAAATTATTTACACAGCTCAACTAGCAAAACTAAACAACTCAAAAAATATTTTTCGATGTTACTAATGAAACATACAACTAGGTGGTTGTATTTGTGCATATTAGTAAATGTGAAATAAATTACATTAACAATAAAATGACATCAAGCAAAACCACATAAAATGTAACTCAAAAAATCATTTCTTCTTAACTGTGGAAATGTAAGAAAAAAATGTGTTTTACACAAACACACAAGTACAAGTGTACATACTGTAAATTATGAATAAGTACTGTACTTTGTAATTACTTTGTCAAAGTTTAAGTTCATTATCGTACCGCAGTGTAAGTACATACATCTTGTGTATTACTTAATGTATAACAAAGACCTATCAATATCGTCCATACGATATTTGCCAGTGTATAAGACGATACTTTTTACTCTTCAAACAATACCTGATTTTACTCCTCGTCTTACACACACACACACACTCAAAGGAGTTCCAGTAAGAACTTTCAGGTTAATAGTATATTCAACCAAAACTACGTTGTTCCTTTTACTTTTGTACATTTTTTTGAAGAAGTATGTTGACATTGTGCCACCTGCTGGGTTACAATAAAATATTTGTAATTGTATCATTTATCTTGAGTCTTCATAACAAGAAGTTATTTATCTCAAATGCTAGTTAGAATTAATCAAGACATTTTTTATTTTAAATGTATTGATCTCATCCGTCATACTAAAATATTGCTAATATTATATAAAAAAAAATCAGTTTCTGTATTGTACACTAATTTTGTAAACATGTTTTTATAGATCACTGTATCTTAAGTTTCAGTATTTTTTTTGTAATAGAAAAGGAGTTTGACTGTGATGAAAATTTTGTAAAGTTGTTTATTACACGTTTATGACTTAAGTCGTGCCACATTGAGCTGTCTGTAACGTTTGAAGAGTATAAAAAAACACTTGTGGTTGTATTGACTACCCCAGAGCACAGGTTAGCACAGTTTAAAAATAACTTCTAAGAATTTCTTTACAAAAGTAACATCCTAGAATTGCTTGAGAATAGAGCAAATACAGTACCTCATTTCTTATGATCTTTAAAGCTATCACACAAATAATTAAGGAATTAACTACATTTTGCTTTTCTTGAAAAACACAAAGGTGAATCTTTGTTTCGTGCTAAAAACACTCATGAAAGCTACCTAGACTTATCAAAATCTTAATCTAAATTTTGTTCTTTGATGTAATGCTGAAAGTGGTTTACCATTCTATGATTAATTTTTGGCACAATTTTAACAAGGCCCTTGCACGAGAATCACTATGATCTTTCTGTGCCAATGATTCCATACGGGCAACTAATTTCTTTGTGTGTTTAGCAAGTAAAACAATTTCAAAACGTAAACATTCATATTTTCTTGTTAGTCATTCCCTATAAGTGATCGATAATTAATTATTAAAGAAACCATTCGATAGCATATACTTTAAAAAATCCATCTTTGCATATTCTATTAGAATCATGTATAATAACATTCCTTAATTAAAAATAATAAGAACACATACACACACACACACATATATATATATATACATATAAAGTAAAAGTACACAAAATGCTGATATTAGTAAGGTTCTTCAAAATTTTATTGTAAGACTTATTTTTCACAATAAAATCAATTCAAATCTTAGCAACTATTATTAAAAAATATAATCACAGTTCCATAAAAAAAACAGCATGTTAAGATGCTGGATTTAAATTTTACTTTCTAAAATAACAAAATCAGGTATTTTCGTATCAAAATAAAAAGAAATACATAATAAAAAACAATACTTTTATTACTCGATCGTATTTGTAAAACTTTATGCAGGTAAATGAATGGTGCTTTTTTTTTTAAATTATATTTGCCTAAGCACCCGACATCGTACATTTGAAAATATATAACGATCCATTACTTGATGTTTTATTTTTAGAACTTTCATTAATTTTTTTCATATTGAATATCCATTTTATAAAATTTTGTAATATTAAACTCAATTCTATTTCAAAATCTTTATCAAGAATAATAAAAAAAGATTATTGCTTAGCCAGGAAAAAAAAATACACATATATTAGTTTGGAAAATACGTTGTATTTTTACTTATGTCATGAAATAGAAATAAATAAAAAAAAACTGTTTACATCTTTTATCACAATACAGTATTTTCTCCCTTCAATGAAAGAAAATTAAAAATGCAACATCATCAGTGAAAAAATGATTTAACATTAATTAATGGTAAAAAATATTCAATTCCAATTCCCAATACGAATAAAAGTATTTTGTTTTCATGCATCACACACAGTATTAATTGGAATAAATTGAAATTATGAAAATGATAACTGCCTTAATGGAAAAAGACTAGCAAGGTACAGAAGACAAATCAGAAACCTTAATAATTTGTAAGTTGATTATCATGATGCTTTAATTGATCTCAATTTATAAATAGTAAATGCAATGTTAAGGATATTCTCACATTATCTATATATAAAAATATCTTCAAGAAGCCTCCAAAGAAGTAAGTTTTTACAGTATGCATAAAGTTGTAGAGGCATCACAGTTTGAAATATTGGAAAGCAATGCTTACAAATTTGTGTTTCTTGGAAAATGGTGATGAAATGTATTCATACTCTTGAAAATATTAAGTACGCATACTGAACACTATTTACATGAAACAGACAAAGAACATGATCCTGTTTTCTAGAAGATTAATTGGTATTAATTTTTTAACTCTTTATTATCTGTGGAAAGAAAACAATATTGTAATAACAATAATCTTCTAGTCAGGCATTGAATATATATTGTTGAAAATTACTATACAATACAGTGGTGAATAAATCCAAAATTGATTTTCTTTCAATTGAAAATTTACAAATTTTAACTCGTTTTCTTTAATTTTCTTCTTACTGAGTCTGTTGCAAAAGAATTACAAGGTCGAATATCCTTGTACATTACCTGAAATGAAAGAAAGAGTAAAATAACCCCCAAAACATATAACCTATCATTTCTAACATACCTATAAAACTAACAACACAGACACTGCTAGCTACTTAAAATATTTGGGGCTCAGGCTCATAGACGTGGGAATTTTTGACATTTCAGTATGATATTGATCATGGTTTTCTATTCTGATTTTTCAAGACACCAACTGGGGATTCAGGGCACGAGTCCCACGTGCCAGTACCTAGTGACACCTCTAGATAACGATATAATTTCAAGTGCTTGATTCAAGCGTACTATTTTGTTTTACTTATCCTTTTAAATTAAAATTCAATAACTGAAACAATAAAACAGACCAGCTTTAAGTAAGAAAAAAAAAGTTACATTTAAAAGTGGTACCAATAAAATTTTAGAAGAAGAAGAAGATAAATATCAACTAGTCTTAGCTAGTTTAACAATCCATAGAATATTTTTTTTTAAATCCAAGATAATAATGATTGCATTTTGGTAGTTGATGTGAAATATTTGTTTTATTGGAAAAAGCCGATTTGTAGTTTCTCTTTGGCGTCAAAAAATTTTGAAATGCCTTTAAAAATATCATTAAAAGAATGACAAAACTAAACTTTAAATTTACCAGCAATCACATAAAAATATGGCTTTTTTATATTTCTTTCTCTAATTGTTAAGTAAAAACAAAAAAGGGATTTACACTGGAAGGAATATGATTATTTTCATTTGATGCAGAGAGATAAAAATATTAATGAACCATGTTTTTTTGTTTTGTTTTTTATAAATAAAAAGATACTGTATAAACTGAGAAAGAAAAAACACAAGATTTTTAAAATACATAAAACTTTGATCACCTTTTCAATATTATCTGGAACTCTGGAAAGAAAGTCTAAAATTTCATTGTTTGGTATCGCATGAGGGTTCAGCAGTTTTTTGGTAAATTTGTTGACGCCTACAGTTAAAAAAAGATGTATTAAAAATCTAAAATTTCATGATTATTTAAATATTTTGTAAAATAAAAATAACAATTTAGAGCAAATGGATTAATATACGATAGCTAATTTACTAATTCTAAATCAAAGCAAGTATTTTCTTTAAAAAAACAAGAAGAAAAAATAGTTGTCTCTTTGGCAGCATGTTGTATGCAGACAATTTCAACCTTCTTTTTATTATACATTTGTTTTTAATTTATCATTTATTCTAGATATGTGTAGTTTTCTAATAGCATGCGATTATATGACAGTCATTAAGTTGCATTCATTACAGTTACATAGTGTTTTGTTACTCCTTTGAGATACCACCTGGTCTGCCCATGGGAAGTACTGCTGTACAGTTGTACTTTTTATGTGGATATAAACAGCAGTGTCCTTCAGTGGTAAGTCAGGTGTGTCTAGAGGTTATAAACTTCCTTATGTTTGAACAGTCACATGGGTAGTATTAGATGCTTTGGGTAAGTCTGATGTTATCAATTAACTAGGATCTCAAACAAGACAGTTCAGGAAAAAATAGTTTACTAACCACTATAGATGACCATCCATTGTCTATAAACAGGTACACATACAGTCTTTATACTCGCAAATAATAAATATCATTCATTGTATTTTTGCATAGTTGTGTCCAGTCTCATTATTTCCTTCTCATGAACTCAGTTATTGAAAGAACTCAGAATTATTTTGTAGAAAAAATATATTGTTCAAGTTTCCCCTTATTCTGCAGATTTATCTTGTCACTATACAAGAAAATACCACACATGACTTGGTCAGTGGTAAGTTTATGGAGTTATAATGCTAAAATCCATGGTTCAATTCCTTGCAGTGGATATAGTGCAAATAGCCCACTGTGTAGTTTTGCACTAGGAAAACAACAACAACTACCACACATGTAACCTTAAAGAAAAACTTACATAGTGCTACAACAGTTGGAGGATATGTAATAGGAGTTAGTGTTAGGTTTACAAGAGCATACAAGCTAGTAAATTTTCTTTTAATAATAACTTATCTTTATATATATAATTTTTTTATCAAACAGATAAGAATTGCAATTTATTTAAAAGCTACCATACGTAACCATATATTTATCACAGCTCTAGAGACACTACAGTGATATTTCTCTAGATATCAAAACCATTTAACACTCTCAAACTTCCACCTGTACATTTTTATAATCTGAAGTTTATTTTCTTCTTATAAGTAACCTAAAACAAGTGTCAATTAAGAGTCTGTTAAATAAATTAATTAAACAACATTTGTGTAAAATAATAAAACCAACATACAGTTTGGAATTGTTGCACAACAAAACTAGCTTTATTAAGAAAAGGACACATCCCTCAAAAGCCTCTACATGTTTTGGTGACAATCTACACTAATATTATCGTGCAACAATTCAACATTATGTTATTTTTAATAACAATTATAATTAAGGAATGTGAAAAAAAAACAAAAAAACATTATTAATCAACTTACCCCATGCCATAAATAAATAACGAACTGGAACATAATATAACACCAATGTCACCAGCACAAGTACAAGGATGGCTAACCAAGATAAGAATGGTACACTGAAATTGAAAACACTGCAAGAAAAAACAAATTATTTTCAATCATAATGAGTAATAAAGAGAAAATAAAACTCACAACTTAATAATATAACTACATTTCTATTCAAGTTGTCTTTGCTAAAGTAAAACTTTAGTGGATGTAATGTCTTTTATTCATACAAACTTTCAAACTTTTTTTCAGCGAGTCAACCAATTTTTATTTTCTTAGTAAGTTCAATAAACATTCTCATGATCTATATATAAGGTATCTAATATTCTATCTATCTATTCATAGCTAATGTTTAAGATCCCACTGAGGGTACATAACATTGTAACTATATGCAATAAGACCCCAAAAAAATCTCTAGCATTATTTGATGTTAATGATGGGTTGAAATATTACACATATTTAGCAATAAGACTGAAAAAATTAAGAACTAGTTGTGACCATATACACCTTTTTTATATCAAATCAGCTTTAGAAAAACAAGATCAAAGAGATGATACACTTCAGCTTTTGGAATGATGTCTTCACTAGTGAGTCGATACCAATAGACAATTAACTTCCTTTGTTTGATTAATTCCATCACGCACACACACACAATATA